TTGCTCCCAGCTCAATCAACTTGATTTGGGAAATTTGCAATTTTAACATATTTTACAGAAGACCTAAAACTTTTACATAATTTTTTGATATTATAAATGTAAATGATTTGTTCACTTCACAATTACAGACACAAATTTGTTTGCTTATATTTTAACAACAATCAAACACTTCAAGTTCATAACCACAAGTTAGGAAAAGCTCTAACAGTTAGGAAAACCTCTTTCTTTAATGAAGTAAGTTAATTTTTACGGTTTCAACAGAGCTTTTTGTACTCTTGGCCAAATTTGCCCTAAAATGTGAAAACAAGCCCTGTATATTTTTACACAATTATCTTATAATTATAAATATAAATAAATTTATTTATTTTGACAATTTAAAAAAGCTCTTTATTTTAACTAAAATTATTTTTTATTGCTTTTACAGAGCTTTGATTGCTGTCCCAATCCCCGAGAATGGGGGAAATAAGCACTAAAAAGTTTACGTAATTTCTTGGTATTTATAAATGTATATGAATTTGATCTGACTGTTTAAAAAGCTCTTTTTCTTTATCTAAAGTTAATTTTTACAGAATTAACAAAGTTTTATTGCTTTTGATCTGATTGCCCCAAATGGGGCAAACAATTTGTAGGATCTTTACCTGGGGTCCCTAATATGAGAATAATACTTTGTAAAGTTGAATGCTTTGATTCTTTATTTAAAACAAAAACAATAAAAATGATTTACCATAAGAACTTCAATGAAATTTTTTCTCATTGATGGCATTTGAAAAATAAATTTATTATCAAAATTTGGTGCAATAAATCCTTAGGAAAACTCAACAAATCTTGACGTTAATAGGCGTTATTTACCCCAACATAAATTGTCATAACTTGGAATCCAGTTATCCAAATTTAAAAAACGAACTCATTCTGAAAACGTCCTTATTTTCCGCGTACTTTAGTATTAATTATAGCAAGAGATAAAGATTATAGTAAAATCGTGTGAAGTGCCTACCTATAGCAGTTATAATATTACTTATAGCAGTCATAGTATTTTGATTACTGATAGCAACAAATGTGCACATTTTTATAGTACCAATAATTGTGACATTTTAATTAATTTATAATTGTTTTATAAAATATTTAATTAACGCATTAACAGAATATTGCGAAAAAACAAATTACACGTTAAAAACAAATATGATCATAAAAAGAAAAAAAAAATTGTTCTTTGTTTTTTCTTTTCGGAAATTATTATTAGCACTTTTATTTATACTTTTTACTTGCAAATATATTGCTGTAGACAGTTTGCTCTGCAAACATTCCAGACTTCATTCAAGTAAATTGATCATTACCGAAGTTTATAATTTTTTGGCGCAAGTAGCGCTTTTTTTCGTCAGCAGTTGACAGTTGGTTTTTTGTCAGCATGTTGACAAATTACCTAGGTTACCGATAAAATTTAAAATAATTTAAATCAATTTTCAAATATAATAGATGTATCTATATAATTATACATCTAAATGTATTAAATTATGTGATACAAAAAAATTTTAACAACGTTGAAAAATTAGCAGCGAGGAGGACCATAGCAGTAGCATCTACCAAACCAATGGGCATACGAGCAACGGCGATTAAACATATTTTCGTTTTTTGCTCTCTGGTCACGGTGTTTCCAATTATTGTACCAGCAGTTGTGATCACAATCAAACAATCGCTTTTCATTCACAGTTGGGTCTTTACAGTAGCGGTCTCTTTTTGATCTTCGATGGATAAACCGGAATCCTCTTTCAAAGAAATGACATTTGGATTTTTATGTAAACACGCAGAGCTTACTATTAATAAAATGAATACCAGAGACGCAATCATTGCGATAAAAAATTTTCTAAAATAAAAAAAATATATATATATATATATATATATATATATATATATATATATATATATATATATATATATATATATATATATATATATATATATATATATATGTATACATATATATGTATATATATATATATATATATATATATATATATATATATATATATATATATTTATATATATATATATATATATATATATATATATATATATATATATATATATATATATATATATATATATATATATATATATATTAATAGTTTTCGATGAACATTAAATTGGAAATGCCAAATAGTTAGTTAAGAACAAAGTTTCAAAGACTCTGAGGATTATGTACAAGACAAAACATCTTTTGAATAAAATATGTTTTAAAAAACGTCTAAAAATTACAAAGGAAATACTTACAGAAGTTATATCTCTTCGTTGTTTGTTAACTGGAAAAATAGAAACTGCTAAATGATTCTAATAATTCAAGAAACCTGCTCTTTTATATTGATTTATTAACTAGAAATATGCATGGGCTTAAATAAATAACAACCAATCATATTTTGTAAAATTAATTGACGTGAAGCGTCAATTGATTTTTGAAAATATGACTATAAAAAAATATAATAATTACAAAATTTGATTATATACATAATACAATTACAAAATATGATTATGTAGAAACATGATACAATCATTCTTTGTAAAATCAAATGACGTGAAACATCAATTGATTTTAGAAATAATGACTGTATTATGTATTTATATGTCACAATCATTATATGTGTCATTATTGACGCTTTGGGTGAATTGATTTTACAAAATATGATCGGTGAAGCCCACGCATACAATATTAGTGATTAATAATATGATGCGTGATGAAGTAAGTGCATGATATATTAGTGAATAACTTTAATAATAATAATAGTTTTGACTGATTTATAATGTACTCTCGAGTCCTTAATAAAAGGAGGGGTTGAACGTTTAATTATTTTTTGAAAATTTTCCAATCCACCCCAAGCTTATAAAGACCCCCTTTGTTTATTTATTTTGCTTGTTATAAAACTGTTAACATAAACTTTATACCTCAAAAATAAAAAATAAAAATTCTTTGAAAAAGGATCGTCCATATAGTACGTACGCTCGGAGGGAAGGAGGTGGTCTGCAAATGGCGTATATGAGATGGGAGGGCAGTGGGTTAATTATAAAAGAAAAGAAACACTAAATTAAAAAAATATTATAAAATGTTAGATAAATAGGTTAAAAAGCGTAGGTACTTTAAGGGAAGCGGAGGGTACTCAAAAAAGCGTATTATAAAATGCGGAGATGGGGGGGGGGGGGTCGACGAAAAAAAAAGCGTACGTTTTTTATAGACGGCTTTAAAAATTATAAAAAAATTCTTTCAGTCAATGATAAAAAACAAAAACTTTTAGTGTAAACAGGCTTTAAAAATTGTTCTATCCCCCTATCCCCTCACCTAGTAATAATGAATCGAGAGTATTTAATTTTAGCCAACTTATGAAAATTTAAAATAATCATTCTTAAAAACGTTTACGTTAAATATATCTATTACTGTGCTCTCCTGAGACCGCCAGGGTAAATTTTGGTTTTTGTTTTAATTTTTTTTTTTGTTTAATTATTAATATAGGGTTTCGGTGTTTTAAAATAATCTTTAAGATCTAAACTAACATTTAAACGTATATTTTTATAAAAATAGTTATTACCCAAAGTAAGATATGAAGGGGGAAGTGGTAAAATGGGGAGGAAGAGAATTTTTTTTCAAAATTAATAACGTTTTACACCTTTAAAACAATTTTTGTCAAAAGAATACAACTTTGAAATGAAAAAATAAGATCTTTTATGATAAAATTGAGATTAATTCTAGAGTAAACAATATAACGTCAAAGCAATAAATGTAACAGTTTAACATATATAGAAATTCCTTATATTAATAATTCAATCATTTCAAAGTTCTAAATAATCGAAAATTTTAAAAAAGGATAGAAAAGGACTACTTAAAACTGTTTATACCAAACTCAATTACACTTTTCTTAAGCTGCTATACATAATCATAGTGTTCCAAACGACGTATGGCTTGTATAGTATGGCTTCCATACTTGTTAGTGATAGTGGTAAGCACTTTCTTCTGCCTGCTCGGCATATACACCAAGTCAGTTTGGGTTTGGTGTATATTCCGAGCAGGCAGGAGAAAGTGCTTGATGTGTATGCTGATGAAAAGGAACAAGATGGCATACTAAACTATGAACTTTCCAGCTAATATATAATTGGTAGTTAAACTTTTCCAGAAGATGAAGCTGAAGATTTTCGGAAGCTTTTTTAAAATCTAAAATTAATTCAGCAATAGTTTCTACGGTAAACATGCTAAACCTTTTGTTTTAAGACTTGAAAACTTTCTAAGATATCTAACTACAATTAGAAAAATATTATATTTGGTAATGCATTTAGATGGTTAACTTCTAAGTCATCGAATTTGTCTAAAAGTCTCTGTGAATTGTTACCATCCAAACCAGTTTCTTGGTAACCTCTAAAGATTATATAATTTGACTTTAGCCAAGAATCAAAATCAGGCCATAGTGTAATTAATAATTTTACAAATATAGAAGTAATACCAATAAGGATGTGTAACTCTGGTGGAGGAATCAGATGTTCTACTAAAGTTTCTAGAGGTTTATCAAGATACGCAACTCAAAGAAAAATACAGTTTTTAAATTCCATCATGTGATTTTTTTTGCATTTATCTTCAACAAACTTGTTGTAGGTGATATCAATTGAACCTAAGAAAACTTCCACTTTACACAGAGATGCTAGGGACGGATCTAGGGTGTTACCATTGATGCGCGTGCGTCAGTCCTTTTGCACCGCTAAATTTAAGTGTATCTCTTTTTCACTGTTTTTCATAATGAAAAGTTAAAGTAAAAATTAGAATCTGATATTCTCAAAATTACTTATTCGTTACTTGGACAAAATTTCCTTCGTTTTAGAGCAACTGATGCAATTGTTCTTCATTAAATACAAATGTGATTGGTTAAAGAGGAAATGTTATAGACTTTAACCAATTTATTTGTAAATTGTAAGTTTAACCAATGTTATTTGTACATTTTTACAAAATTTTCCTATCACTTTTTAGCAAGTGATACAATTGTTCTCTAAATCATAAATGATTGGTTGAAAAACAGTTTAAACCAATCACTATTTATTAAAATAACAATTCCATCTGTTGCTACAAACCTTCCGCAAAAATATTCAAAAATGTTTCAAATATGATAGGAGAATTTTTATTAACCAATCAATTTTGTAGAAAGTTTAGAAAAATACACCTTTTCACAGTTCCGATATAAAATTTATACGAGTGCAGAAATGGAAGTAAAAACGTAAACAAACATTATTTCAACGGTTTAAGTTTTGGTTCTAATGGAAAAAATCCCCCGGTAAAAAATTCCCCCGGAAAATATCCCATCGAAATAATCGCGCGATTATACACCAAGCCCAAACTGACGTTTGGACTTGGTGTATACGTCGAGCAGGCAGGAGAAAGTGTTTACTACTGTCACTAACAAGTATAGAAGCCATACTATACAAGCCATACGTCGTTTGGAACACAATGATTATGCATAGCAGCTTAAGAAAAGTGTAATTGAGTTTGGTATAAACAGTTTTAAGTAGTCCTTTTCTACCCTTTTTTAAAATTTTCGATTATTTAGAACTTTGAAATGATTGAATTATTATATAAGGAATTTTTATATATGTTAAACTGTTATATTTATTGCTTTGACGTTATATTGTTTACTCAATTTTATCATAAAAGATCTTATTTTTTCATTTCAAAGTTGTATCCCAGCCGGCAAATAACGTTGAAATAACGTTGAAATATCGTTGAAACCTAACGTTGAATTAACGTTGATTTAACGTTTAGAATGAAAGTTTTTTTTCAACGTTGATTTATCAACGTTAGATTCAAACGTTATATCAACGTTGATTCGACGCGAAAAAAACGTTACAACAACGTTGAATTTACGTTGATAAAACGTTTAAAATGATAGTTTTTTTAACGTTGATTTATCAACGTTAAACGACTGTAAAACACTTTTTCACCATCAAAACGTGCTATGTATGTATGTCAAAATGTATATATGTATGTAAACGTGCTATGTGCGTCAAAATATGATCACCATCAAAACGTACTATGCATGTACATTAGTGTTGCTGTACATTATCAAGGTATATTATGGATATTAAATCTATTCATAGTCTATACTTAGACTATTTAGAACTTTTTATGTTTAGTTTAGTTAAAATAGCTAGGTATGATTAAAGAAAGAGATAAAACTTGTTTTATTCAAAAATACATATTCAAATATTACATATATTTACATTTAATTGAATAAAATCTACACAAATTTCTTCTCTTTTCCACCACATTTTTGAAATAAAGCGTAATTTAGAAAGTCAAACAATATTCTATTAACCGAGGGTCTTTCGGTCCATTGAATACATTATAAGAAGCTCTAAATAAAAAAATATATTAAAAAAAAACAAAAAGGGAAGATTTAAAAAATAAATAATCAATGGAAAAGTGTTACAACTTATGAAGGTATATCTTTTTTAACGCCATATAGATTATTGTTCTTAAAACATATTTTTCCACCTTTGCCCTTCATATCCATCGAGGCCATATAACTTTTCGAAAATACTCTGAATTTTTAAAAAATAATATAACTGTTAGTTGGTTATTAATAACTTTTTCAAATATTTAATTTAAATAAAACAACCTTTTTAATATATTAAAAATAAATTAATAACCAAAATATAAAACATTTCTAGCATTGAAAAATAATTTTCTGGGTTGCCACAAAAAATTTTTATAAGAAATTTTATGTGGCCATTTATTAATGGTTTAACGTCCATGTTTATACACTTATGGGGGTTGGACAGGGATCAAATAATGTCATTTGTTATGTTAAATAGCATGCATTTTCTAAAGCAATTTTTTACAATTCCATGCATTTTAAGGCGTTAACCAGTTTTGCAGACCGAGAATGGGTATTTTGAACATTATACATCCATCAAAAATTAAAAAAAGAAGAATTAATGAGAAGCTTTGATCAAATTTTTACCTCTTTAGAGGATAATAGAGGATTTTAGAAAGGGTTTTAAAAAAAGAGGACTTTAGAGGATTTTAGAGGAGCTGCAGACACCCTGATTATAAATGAGGTAACTCCACCAATTAACTGTAATTGATTTATCTGTAAAAAAACATGAAGTAAATCTAATATTATGCTTGTGGAGATATATTATATTGTGGAGAACCATCCAAACCACACAAGTGGAAAATTTGCATCCAAGTTTCCACTTGTGTGCAAATCTTGCATCCACTTGTCAACATTCTCATTATCACATTTTTCTTTTGTAGTTGTGAATTTAAAATTTTCACAATACTGTTTGCTTTCTTTTAGAATTGAAATAGTTATACAAATAGTTATATATTTTGTATCAACAAAATAACTCTTCTCACCACATTATTTAATAAATAAAAATTGTAATATATAGATGTAATACCTGAAGAGAATTTAGTTTTTATTTGTATAAACTAAAGCCAATTCTTCTCTGCATTTCAGTGCAGTCAATGCTTTGGTACCTGGAAGCCAACAAACAGTTTTATCACTAATCCAATCAGATGGAATTACTTCTTCTTGTAAATCTTCATTCCAAACAGCTCCTTTCCGCATATTTGATTTTGAAAAAATTACATGAACTAATATAAAATGAAGAAACCATAATATAAGTGTACTAACGGGCCTAATTAAACTAGCTAAATTTGAACATTTTATAACCATGATACTTGCTAAACAATAATATTAGTAGACATTATAAGCAAAGATAAGATTTTCTTTATTTTATAAATTTATTATATTTTAAACTCATTTTTATTAATTTATTTATTACTCTATTATTGAGCAGAGTTCTGTATATATTATGTTCAAATAACTTAAGGCTCAATAACAAAGACAAATAATGAAAGAATACTAGGTTGCTAAAACATAAACATCTACATAAGATAATTATGGAATATTGAAAAAAAATATAAAAGTATAATAAAATATAATAGTATAATATTAGGTATATTATAATATATGACACAATAATATCTACTTTTAATTAAAATATAAAAACAACAAAAATTAAAAAAGAAAATATTTTGATAAATAATAAATTATCATTCAAACAATTTTGAAGACCAAAAAATTACTTGTAACTTATTTTTTTACTTATCTTCATCTAATAAACATTACTTATTTTTTACTCATCTTTATCTAATAAACATTAATATTAATACCAATTTTAAACATTATTAGAATTTTTTTTTTATCAAAAAATAAAAATATTACATCAGTTACTTTTTGGGCTTTTCTTATTTAAACATCAACTCAATTCTAGGCTTTTTTCATAATTGAGTTTTAATTTGTAATGTTGAATTAATACTGAAAAAAAAAAAATATTAGCAGACAAAAAGAAAATATTTCTTTATTGAAATATATGTAAATATTTCAATAAAGAAATTTTAGATCGATTTTTATAAATATAAATTTATATCAATCAATCTAAATTTTTTTCTTTTCCGCCACCTTTTCAAAATGAAGCGCATTTTTAGAAGTTAGACAAAATGCCATCAATTAAAGTTTCAGTCGCTCCATCGTATTTAATAGAAGAAGCTGTTAACAAAAAAGAATTAGAAAAAAAAAAAAAAAAAAAAACACAAGGAGAAATTTTTGAATATATAAAAAATGAGAATAAAAAAGTTTTACATTTCTTATAAAGGTATACCTTTCACTACACCATATAAATTAGTGCTCTTAAAGCATATTTCCACCTTTCCCCTTCATATTCATGGAGGTCACAAAATTGTTGGAAAATATTCTAAATTTTAATAGATAAGAGAACTGATATTAATTGTGCGAGAACTAATATTAATTTTTTTTTTAAATTTAAATTGAACTCATTATCAAACAATTTTTTTGCTAAATAATTTAATCCTTAAAATACCTGAATAATTAAAAATTATTTTGATTACCTCAGCATTTTAAAGATATTCCATCCATTGCAATTGATTCACCTAAAAAAAAAACAACAAGTAAAGCTAATATTATTGTTTGAAATTTAATTATCTTTATACAAATACTCATCATATTTTTAAAGTGACTGATAAAAATGGATTTAATTAAAATCACTTCATTTGTATTAAAAAATTAATATTAAAGCCTTAATCATACATTATACAAGAGTATTTTGTAATACAATCTAAATAGTTGTTGCGATATGTAATTTTTTTTATCCAAAATTTAGCTTCTGTAAGCTTTAGAAATTTTTTAAAGAAATTATTGATGAATTTGGAGCTGCGGGTACTAATGTTTTTATATTGTTGTAATGTTTGTATTCATTCCTTGTTAGTTTCTGTAAGTCAAAATTTTAAGGTGTTTCCATAATAAATTCTGTTATATCTGAAATTTAGTGTTAGTCTGAATAATTTAATTTCTAAAATCTGTTTTGCATTGCCTGTCTTATAACATCTTTACTTGGAACAAAAACCATGTGGTTTAAAAGTGAGCTAGAAGCTTTCAACAATGAAGAAAATATTGCATTCACTAATCCTAAAAATATATTCAACCTGTCAGCAAAATCAGCTGTCAATAATCCAAGTATTAGCATCATTAAAAATTCATCTTTGCTGCATTACATTTATTTTGGTCCAAGTAGTTAAGGATTTTTTTAAATTTCAAAAAACAGAAGTAAATGTTTTTTAATATCACTTTATCTCTTTTGATTAATGGTGATACTGCACTAACTGATGAAACACATTGACAGATGTAAGGCTAGTATAAAAGGCGCAAGATCTATTTTTTTTAAAATAAATGTTTGTATACAAGTAAATTGCAATAACACGATTTGTTTGGATTATGTTTATATACAAGTTTGTCTGTTTTCATAGTAATAACTGATGTGGTTGAAGTTAATTTTTCAAATTAATCTATATTTTTTTATTTCGTGCTGAAGTTCTTTTTTAAAGTTATCAATTTCTTTTTTTAATTCTTGATGCTCTATTAAAAAACAACGCTTAGCATTAAATTCAACATAATTTAATGGATCATTTTTTGAAAAAGCTGTATTATATTTACATTTAATAATATCAGTCTTTGAGCATTGTAGCCCAAGTTAAACGAAAAATATCGATTTTTAAACGATAATGTTCTTTCAAGAAAATTGTCTGAACATAATTTCGATCTCTTGAAAATTCTATATGATATAAGTTCAGTATTTACATTTTTTTTCTCACCGTTGAAATAATGTTTACGATTTTACTTCCATTTGTGCGCGCGCAAAAATTTTATATCGTATTTTTTGTCAACAATGAATGAAATAATGACGTTAAATAACGTTTAATAATCAACGTTTAAACTGTAACGTTTATTTAACGTTGAAATAACGTTAAATAATCAACGTTTAAACGGTAACGTTGATTTAACGTTGTGACATAGTTGAACAACGTTGAAACAACGCTTCAACCGAATTTCAACGTTAAAACAACGTAATAATGCCAGCTGGGATTCTTATGACAAAAATTGTTTTAAAGGTGTAAAACGTTAATAATTTTGAAAAAAATTCTCGTCCTCCCCATTTTACCACTTCCTCCTTCATATCTTACTTCGGGTAACAACTATTTTTACAAAAATATATGTTTAAATGTTAGTTTAGATCTTAAAGATTATTTTAAAACAATAATTTTTTTTTTGTTTAATAATTAAACAAAAAAAAAAATTAAAACGTAAACGTTTTCAAGAATGATTATTTTAAATTTTCATAAGTTGGCTAAAATTAAATACTCTCGATTCATTATTACTAGGTGTAAAAGTAAAAATACCTACGCTTTTTAATTTATTTATCTAACATTTTATAATATTTTTTTAATTTAGTGTTTCTTTACTTTTATAATTAACCCACTGCCCTCCCATCTCATATACGCCATTTGCAGACCACCTCTTTCCCTCCGAGCGTACGTACTATATGGACGATCCTTTTTCAAAGAATTTTTATTTTTTATTTTTGAGGTATAAAGTTTATGTTAACAGTTTTATAACAAGCAAAATAAATAAACAAAGGGGGTCTTTATAAGCTTGGGGTGGATTGGAAAATTTTCAAAAAATAATTAAACGTTCAACCCCTCCTTTTATTAAGGACTCGAGAGTACATTATAAATCAGTCAAAACTATTATTATTATTAAAGTTATTCACTAATATATCATGCACTTACTTCATCACGCATCATATTATTAATCACTAATATTGTATGCGTGGGCTTCACCGATCATATTTTGTAAAATCAATTCACCCAAAGCGTCAATAATGACACATATAATGATTGTGACATATAAATACATAATACAGTCATTATTTCTAAAATCAATTGATGTTTCACGTCATTTGATTTTACAAAGAATGATTGTATCATGTTTCTACATAATCATATTTTGTAATTGTATTATGTATATAATCAAATTTTGTAATTATTATATTTTTTTATAGTCATATTTTCAAAAATCAATTGACGCTTCACGTCAATTAATTTTACAAAATATGATTGGTTGTTATTTATTTAAGCCCATGCATATTTCTAGTTAATAAATCAATATAAAAGAGCAGGTTTCTATTTTTCCAGTTAACAAACAACGAAGAGATATAACTTCTGTAAGTATTTCCTTTGTAATTTTTAGACGTTTTTTAAAACATATTTTATTCAAAAGATGTTTTGTCTTGTACATAATCCTTAGAGTCTTTGAAACTTTGTTCTTAACTAACTATTTGGCATTTCCAATTTAATGTTCATCGAAAACTATTAATATATATATATATATATATATATATATATATATATATATATATATATATATATATATATATATATATATATATATATATATATATATATATATATATAAATATATATATATATATATATATATATATATTTTTTTTTTATTTTAGAAAATTTTTTATCGCAATGATTGCGTCTCTGGTATTCATTTTATTAATAGTAAGCTCTGCGTGTTTACATAAAAATCCAAATGTCATTTCTTTGAAAGAGGATTCCGGTTTATCCATCGAAGATCAAAAAGAGACCGCTACTGTAAAAGACCCAACTGTGAATGAAAAGCGATTGTTTGATTGTGATCACAACTGCTGGTACAATAATTGGAAACACCGTGACCAGAGAGCAAAAAACGAAAATATGTTTAATCGCCGTTGCTCGTATGCCCATTGGTTTGGTAGATGCTACTGCTATGGTCCTCCTCGCTGCTAATTTTTCAACGTTGTTAAAATTTTTTTGTATCACATAATTTAATACATTTAGATGTATAATTATATAGATACATCTATTATATTTGAAAATTGATTTAAATTATTTTAAATTTTATCGGTAACCTAGGTAATTTGTCAACATGCTGACAAAAAACCAACTGTCAACTGCTGACGAAAAAAAGCGCTACTTGCGCCAAAAAATTATAAACTTCGGTAATGATCAATTTACTTGAATGAAGTCTGGAATGTTTGCAGAGCAAACTGTCTACAGCAATATATTTGCAAGTAAAAAGTATAAATAAAAGTGCTAATAATAATTTCCGAAAAGAAAAAACAAAGAACAATTTTTTTTTTCTTTTTATGATCATATTTGTTTTTAACGTGTAATTTGTTTTTTCGCAATATTCTGTTAATGCGTTAATTAAATATTTTATAAAACAATTATAAATTAATTAAAATGTCACAATTATTGGTACTATAAAAATGTGCACATTTGTTGCTATCAGTAATCAAAATACTATGACTGCTATAAGTAATATTATAACTGCTATAGGTAGGCACTTCACACGATTTTACTATAATCTTTATCTCTTGCTATAATTAATACTAAAGTACGCGGAAAATAAGGACGTTTTCAGAATGAGTTCGTTTTTTAAATTTGGATAACTGGATTCCAAGTTATGACAATTTATGTTGGGGTAAATAACGCCTATTTTGCGTCAAGATTTGTTGAGTTTTCCTAAGGATTTATTGCACCAAATTTTGATAATAAATTTATTTTTCAAATGCCATCAATGAGAAAAAATTTCATTGAAGTTCTTATGGTAAATCATTTTTATTGTTTTTGTTTTAAATAAAGAATCAAAGCATTCAACTTCACAAATTATTATTCTCATATTAGGGACCCCAGGTAAAGATCCTATTAATTGCAGTAATTACACTTCTAACAGTTGCAACCCTAAAGCGCAATCTTGTTTTGAGTTTTTCATAGGGTGGCCACCCTATGAAAAACTGATAACGAGATTTGGATACGCACGTACCTACAAAAAAAGTTAATTTTGCAAAACTTGTCAAATTCTAATCTAAAATTAACTTTAAAAAAGACAATGCTTTTTTAGAGTTGCCTTTTGAACTTTCTGTAGACTTTAAAATATTTGAGTGATTATATTCCATCAAAATATTTGAGTGATTATTTTCCAAAGTTAATATTCTTTCATATAAAGACTTAAATACTTTATATGATGTTTCAACATATCTAACCTATGGTAAACTTTTTACCGCTGGCAAAGACGATGCAGTTTTTAAAGATATAGTACACAAAGTATTTTGTCCAAATTCTGTATTTGTTTTTCTAATTTCTATTTAATAGTTATTTAATAGACTATTAATACAAAGAATTTATTCAAAATTGAATGACTCAGCCACTATTTTTGGTTAGCTTTTTCTAACAAAGAAGATTGAGCTTACTGTTTTCTTTTTTCTTTGTATATTAAATAAGTCTCATCAAGAATGGTGTAACATGGTGTACCATGCTGTTCATGATTTTTAAAAACATGGAAAAAGTTGTGTTTTACAATGCATTACATTCATGTTGCAACCCCAAAAGTAATGTTATTGAGGTTGATTTAAATAATTCTTGTTTAAAACTTTTTTCTGATAACTGAAAATAATTAAAACAATAATATTTCTTAGTTGGAAAAGGTAACTTCATACAGCTTTTAAAAATTTGCGTTGATGCTGGTGATCAAATATTAGCTAATCAACTTTTTTCAAGTGCAACAAATGCAACCTTTATATCAGAAACTACCCAAAACCAACTTATTAATTTTTGTGGGAAAACAATTGAGGTAGCTTTAATAAAAAATGTAAAGTATTCCAATTTTTTTTTAATTCTTTGAGATGAAGCAGTTGACTGTTCAAACACTGAACAAATGTCATTTTTTTAAAGATATGTGAATTCAAATAATGAGATTTGCGAGTATTTCCTAACATTAATTGATTACAGGACTGGTACATCTGGTTTTAGTCTATCTCTAAATTTACTTTCTATCTCTAAATTTACTAAAATTACTAAATAAAATTCCTTAATACACTTCAAAAGGCTTTTTGGACTTAATATTCAAAATTGTACAGGCTAACTGTATGATGGTACAGGGTTTGTAGGAGATGAATATAAATGAGTTGCTTCTTGAATAAAAGCTCTTAATCATAATGCTTTTTTCGTTCATTGTCAAGCCATAGACGTAGTTTAGTTGTAGCTATTGTTTTTAGTTTGGCTTTTGGTTTTAGTCTTGATATCCAAGAGGTGAGACCTAGATTGTGTACTTTTCAGGTTTACCAGTATAATTACCAACAAATACAGTTTTGACTATTTTAAACAAAGCATTACTTCTCCATTAATTGAACATCTTATTAATGAGCAAAATAATAGGTTTCCAGAAAATGGTATGTTTAGGTTTAGCAGCAGTTCCTTCAACTGTACTGTCCAGAATACAAGTTAAGAAAGCATGGAAATCTGATTTTTATGAATTTTTAAATTTCTATTTATCTGAATATGCCTCATTTTACTTCAATACATGCTGAGTTAGATTTATGGGAATTATTTTTGAAAAACCAATCAAATATTCCTTTAACTGTTGCTAGTATTTTAAAGGTCATTGACATGAGAAGTTTTCCAAATATAAGAAAAGTGTTTATTTTAATATTAGGAACTATTCCAATAATAACTTGTGAATGTCAAAGAAGTATTTCAGTTATATATAATTGAATACATATATATATATATATATATATATATATATATATATATATATATATATATATATATATATATATATATATATATAGCGAGAGAGAGAGAGAAAGAGAAAGAGAGTAGAGGAGGGGGGGGGGGGTAGTGGAAGAGAGAGAGGCTGTTAGCCTTATTTATTTTAATTAATTGAACTTCAAAAAAAATGTATATATTAAAAGTTAATAAATCGATAAATAAAAAAATTCTTTTCAAAAAAAAGAAAGAATCCAAAAATGGAGGGTTAACCTTAAATAAGATTACTAATACTTTATATAAACTGCTTTCAATAAAAGGATAGAATCTAGAAATGAAGGGCTAACTTTATAATTATAATATTAGTTAATTAACTTTATATTACTTTACATTAATAAATAATCTAATAGTACTTTACATTACGTGTTTATCAAGAAAAGGTAAGAATCCAGAAACGGAGGGCTAACCTGACAATATGACAATTTTTGAATATATGAAATTGTTAAAGAAACTGTGGTCAAAATCATTTTTTTTGTATCGAAAGTTGTTATAATTATGCAAATTTTTGCCGCCCGCCGCCCCCTTTCCGCCCACATAATTTTTTTTTGTCAATTTTTGTCATTTAAAAAAGGAAAATTTTGTTTACATTTTCAAACGTCAAAGCAATAGTTTATCCTGTCTCACATAGGAAAGAGCGAGTGCCCCTCCAATCTAAAAATTTTTTTATGACTTTGAATTGAAAAATATTTTGATAGATATTAGTTAAAATTAAAAAAAATGAGAATAAATAAAAATTTTAACACTTTAATTTTTAATCAAGATGTGTAAGAGTTTTAATGTTTAAATTCTTAGACAAAAGGCTGTTTGATTCTTTAACATCTAACCTAAAAAAACATGTAAAATGTTTTAAAAATACAAAAGTCAAAATTATGTAATTTAGTGTAAACAAAATATCCATTGTAATTATCTTGGCTTTTAGTAAACAATTTGAAATTCCACTAATGAAACAAAATATTAATCATTTTTAACGATAGACATCACGAGAAGGTAAGCCAGAGCTGTCTTTCAATAATTTTTACAAGTCACAACACTTGCTGGTTACCTATCTGCAAATCACAACACTTGCAATACTTTTCAAATGTTAAGACTTTTCAAGTTCTAACATTTACAGTATCTGTTTTGGACTTAATAAACCTTACAATTATGAAAACAAAACATATTATTATTAAAAATAAATAACACACATTAACATTACGAAAAAAATAAATTCTCCTGACACAACATCTGGGGCAAGCTGGAATTTTTTATGCAATAATCACCAGCTTCAGAATCAGATTCATCTTTTTTCATGTAAGAGATAGTGTAAATTCTGTCATGCAATCATTTTTGTACTTTTTCTACTCTGCCATCGTATACTTAGATTGTTCAATATCATACTATTCTTGACATTGTTTTCTACTAACAATTCTGACAGACATAACATCAACTAAATCATCCAGTTGCTTTGTAGACAATTGTTTTTACAAATTCTTAATCTGGCTGAAAGTCATTAAGTTAAGTTTTTGTTATAACTTCCTTTTTTCATGCTCATCCAACATTTGACGCTTGCATTTCTGTCTCTTATATAATACAGATCAAATTTGAGCATGTTGTAGGCAATTTCTCTTTCTTTCTTTACGTGCTGTGAAAATGGACCATTAATAACATTTTCTCTACTTAGTAATCTAAACTATCAAGATAATAAATAGTTCTATTCTTTTTTCATCATATTTTGCAAGAACTATATAAAATTGTTGCATTAGGGGATCTTCCTTTAGATTCACTAAACATACCAATTAGCTCTTCACTATCTATATTTTGAAACTTTGTGCTAGCTGTTTCTTGCTTGAGTGTCTCTGTAATGAAAAGGGAGAAGTACCTTTTACATTGTCTAATCAATACATCCTTTACTGCATTAAGACAAGCTGAAGTCATGTTGATAACCTGGTCATCAATGCAGCATTAATTTGTTATTGGTTCAAAAACGTTTGAGGGAAGCATTTCCCCCAAAAAATCTGTTGCTCTGCAAAACAGTGCAGCCGGATTAGATTTGCAAACATTAACTGTTTGCAAAATGTTTTTTACAATCTGAATACCGGTGAGATGATCAAAATTTGCATCCTCAGCTGATACTTAAAACTTTATCATCCATGGACCAATTAGCAGTTTTCCAAATACACCAAGCACATTTTTTTGTAGCGGTAGCATTAAAAAATGCTTTTTGCAGAGCTGCTTGCAAACTGCCACATTTTACTGTTCCAGTGATCAAAAAATTTAGAAAATCAGC